ACTGCATTACCTCTATTTCTAACTAGTTGGCTGCTCATTTCCTAAAACTCAACTTGTCCAAAACAGAACATCGGGTCTTTCCTCCCTCAAGTGTGCTACTCCCATTTCTGTTTCATCTCCACCTCGCATGCTCGCTGCCTAGGTGTTCTCTTTCACTCCGACCTTGTCACATATTCATCCGCTTAGAGAAAAGTGATTAATGACTTTTACTGTCCACACAGGAAAAGTTGTGCCGAGCAGCAACCTAATCCACAGAAGGGTTAATGCTGAGCAGCAATTATGCAAATGAAACCTGGTAACTGACTTTGGGGTCAAAGGCCGGTTACAGCCTATCAGAACTAAAGGAGTGGTATTTAGGCCCAGTTCTCAGCCTGCTCAGTGCCCTGTCGTGGTTTCCCTTGTGGTTGTCCGAGAGCGCGTTCCTGTTTATAGTTTTCTACCTGGTTTTTTACTTTGGCTTTGTTTATTGACTTCTCTATATTCTGGTATCCTGACTCCTGGCTTTCCTCATTGCTGTGTCCCTTTCTGTGTTCCCTGACCTCGGCTAGTATTTTTGACTATTCTTTGTACGTTAAATCCGGCCATTCTAAGGACCGGTAATACGTTACTTATTTGTCATCCGTGCTGTACAGTTCTACGTGCTGGATCAAACAGTAATCCTGACAGACCTCTCCCTCAACTCTTCTTGTCCAGTCGATCACCAAATCTTGCTGCTTCCATCTCAAAAACATCTTCTCAGTGGTCTTTCATGCTCCCAACTTGCCCCGTTACAGTCTATAATGAGTGCAGCGGTGAGCCTCATCTTCCTTTCTGCATCTTTCATGCCTCACCCCTCTGTCAGTCCCTGCATGGGCTTCATGTGAAATATAGGGATTCATTTAAAATTTTGGTTGTTGCTTACAAATCTCTACACAATACTGCTCCAACCTATCTATCCTGCCTAATACATACGTATGTCCCATCTCGGCCCCTAAGCTCTGCCGAAGACCTACATCTATCCTCTGTCTGTACTCCCATCCCTGATGCTAACCTTCAAGACTTCTGTCGGGCTGCAACATTTTTGTGGAACTCCCTTCCCTTCTCGGTTAGACATTCACCCAGTCTCCACTCCTTTTTAAAATCATTGAAAACTCACTTCTTCAGGAAAGCGTATCAATTAAATTGTTAATAGCTCCCCCCCAGCACCCTGATTCCTCTCCTTCAACTGTCATCAAAACATTGTCTTCATTGAATTCTATTTTACCAACCAACTACTCTACTCCTACCCTTATGTTGTGTCACTCTGCCCCACACCCTCTAGTATGTAAGGTCATTGAGTAGGCCCTCAACCCCTCTGGTCCTGTGCGTTCAACTCGTCTGATTACAATAACGTGTTTGTTGGTCTACCCATTGTACATCGCTGAAGAATTTGTGGGCGCTATATAAATAATAATAATCATTTAAAAATAAATAAATAAATAATAGTTATGACGTTAGGATGCATATTTTACATGACAAATTTAGTTTTATTTTTAAAGTGAAGCTGTCATGTTGTCAAGGACAGACTGGATCAAACAGGCAAATATAAGGAAAGAAAATACTAAAAGAACAAGTGTATTATCGGACCTTAAAATGGTCTGATTAAACTCACCAAGAACAGTACAAGACAAGTCGCGGTCAGGGATATACAAAATAAACGTAAGGAAAAGCCAAAGGTCAAGGACAATCAGAAGGGAGAATAGTCAAAGATAAGCCATGGTCAAAATGGCAGAAAATTAAATAAACGGGCTCTTGGATTAGTCACAAAAAGGAAACCACGACAGGGCATCAAACAATAGGTAAAGTGAGTTTAAATAGCCTACGAAGGGCTCCCATTGGTTGCTGGAACCTGGTGATGCCAAAACATGCATGCAAGTCAATGACATGATGATGCACGCATGTCCACGTCACCAGCGTCACAATTGGTGTCTCTTACTTTAAATCGTGGCTTGTGTAAGTGCCCGACGTCCAGGGCCGGACTGGGAATTAAAAGCAGCCCTGGAAAAAAAATTGTTACCAGCCCCATAATGCGTCGCGCCAGCATAGTGTGCAGATACAGAGTTAGAAAAGAGAACTTAAAATTAAAAATTATTACTCCAACGTAAAAAAAAAAGCACTCATAGGCTTCAAAATAAACAAAAGTGTAGATTTATTTTAAGCAGACGTGCCTTTGCAAGTAATCAATGTTTCAGTCCAACTACCTTGACATATTAAGGAAAGCTTGGTAATGGGACTGAAATGGTGAATGTATGTAGGGCACAACTGTAAAAAAAATGACGTTATCTTGTTTATTTTACAAGTCCTGTGGGTGCGCTCTTCACTTTAAATATGTTATTGTGATGGAGTCTGCATCTAGCAACAAGACTGGGACAATATCTGCTCATTACAAATGGTACATGTTAATGACATTTATCTGTGTATTATGCATATATAAATGTACATTAATA